AAGAGTGGCAATCTCGAGTGAGCAATAATTTGTGCATACTTCGTTCAATTTGTTTGAAAAGATATGACAATCTCTTTCATCTTTATCCTAAATGGCATCCAAAGTGGTAAACTCACATGAATTTTATAAAGTTTTTATGTTCCACATTTATCTTAGTAGTGAAAATGGATTTTTTTTTTTAAATATATATTTTTGGAAGGGTGACACTTTTGCGAAGTAAATTTTAAATTTTCTACTTTTTTCTACGGTATGTACTATGAAAATATGTCATATTCCTAAATACTCTCCTATTTAGACTTTATGTTCCTAAATAATTTTTTGAAATATGTCATGTTCCTAAGTACTTTTGCTTTTTTGATCTTCTTCCTTATTCATGCTAAATACTCTACCACTGTTGGTTGGATATGAATCTATAGGAATTGGATGAGATGAAGAAGCTTTTGAAAGAGTCAGGGGTTGTTCATTGATAGGAGGAAACAAACCAACGGCACCCTTGAACGCTCCAATTTAGGTAATCTCTTCAAACTTCTATGTTGTATGATTTATTTTTTATTTTTTATTTTTTATAGAGAAAATATTTAACCATTTAAGTTGTTTATATGGGAGTGCCTTTAGGCACGAGTGATATGCTAGCAATTCATATTAGACATTTTTTTTTTCTTTGGAAACATTCCTTTAATCCGTCTGATTTGATTTGATTTTTTTATTATTTATTTCATATATAGTTACTAAAATGACTATTGGACCATTTTAAAGTCCTTTTACTATAGTTATTTTTTAATGCAACAATTTCAATTTTAAAATGGTTGTAGTTGATATAATTAATGACTTCCAAATTAATCATCTGTGTAATTACTCTTATTTAAAGTACTTTTTCATTTACATGATTAGTTTAGGGCTCTTTTGGGGAAAGGGAAAAACGCCAGGTTGGCATTTGGAGCAAAACGCACAGCAGCGTTTTTTTGCTCATTTCGCAAGTAGAAAAAGTAGGTTAGGAAATTACATAATTACTCTCAATATTTACATCTTATAGATTTGGGTCAAACGTAATTTTTTAAAATTTGGTGAGGTTATTTTAGTCATTTTGGTGTGATGTGACACCATAAATAAATATTAATTAAAAAAAAAATCAGTGTTTTACTAACTTCGCAAACACTCCCAAAAAGCTTGGTTAAAAGCAAAAAAGCTGCTTTTTACCATCTTCCCAAAATACCACTTAGTCACGTTAGGGCATTATATGAATGCAATGATTTTGTAAATTCAACCAATGGACTCTTAACAGAATTATAGAATTAATGAGTTAATTTGTTTTAAAGCTATAAAGCTAAGTTCGAGTTTTTATTTACTAAGATTCAAATTCATCGTCAAATGCATGGCTTCTTTGTGTTAATGATTAGGATTTGAATTTTTCAATTAATTGATTTTGAAATTAATATCTTAATTGGTTTGAATTTGTAGTGTCATACTTTTCAAACTTTCATTAGCAAAAGTCGTCTTCTTTTTTTAGAATTTCTTATTGCTTGTTGAGAATTTCATGATGCTATTTGAGTCATTTAGAATGTTTCAAATTTTAAGCAATTTGTTAAGTTTTATATATTCCAAACTTCTATCTTTAAAGCTTCGTCTTAAGTATTCCGATTGAGTTGATTTTTGGATTCTATGATTTTTGTCTTAAGCTTCACTTAATTTAATTTAATATTCACTCAGTTTGTTATCCTGCCTATTGAGTTGATTTTTGGATTCTATGATTTTTGTCTTAAGCTTCACTTAATTTAATTTAATATTCACTCAGTTTGTTATCCTGCCTATTGAGTTGATTTTTGGATTCTATGATTTTTGTCTTAAGCTTCACTTAATTTAATTTAATATTCACTCAGTTTGTTATCCTGCCTATTGAGTTGATTTTTGGATTCTATGATTTTTGTCTTAAGCTTCACTTAATTTAATTTAATATTCACTCAGTTTGTTATCCTGCCTATTGAGTTGATTTTTGGATTCTATGATTTTTGTCTTAAGCTTCACTTAATTTAATTTAATATTCACTCAGTTTGTTATCCTGCCTATCGGATGGTTAATTATTATTATTTTTAGTTAGAATGATTACTCTTTTGTACCAAAATATTTGTTCACATTTTCTTGAAGGTATTGAAATTTGATAAACTGAAAAGGTTATCAGTTATGATACTAATTCAGTAACATCCTTTTATTGAAGGTTTGCTATACATGTGTCATTTTAGCGTGGATTGAATTCTAAAATTTGTTGTTTGGACTTGAATTTTAGCAAATATTTTTAGATTCTATTATTTGCTTATGCTACACTGTAATATAAAATTTATTATTTGGACTGTAATTTTGAAGTTTGTTATTTGAAATTTATGAATGTTTTTGCCAGTTTACTATGTAGAAACAATTTCAACTTCTTATTTGTGAAGTATTAAATTAGAGTGATATTACAATTGAATTCCGTAACCCGTGTGGTACCAAAAAAACTATTGACCGTGCCTTCAGGCACGGGTTATCCCTAGTATATATATATTTCAAAACCTAGGGGGGCATATGACCCCTAGACCCTAAGAGTGGCGGTGATGGCATTGCTAGTTTTCCAACAGACACAGAGTAGGTGAATGAAAAAAAAAATTAAAATTTTGTAAATAGAAGATGAGGGTATTAATAGAATGAAAAGATGTGTACTGAGAATATTTGTTTTCGATACGTGCACTGAAAAAGTATTCATTAAGTATGTATATTGAAGGAATTTAGTGTGTGAAAATATAATTACCTCATTTTTAGTCCATGTAGTAGATATTTATCTTATTTTGATCTTTCACATTTTAATTATGCTAGTTTGATTCCTCAAAATTGTATTAATGTGATCCTAAGCTCCGAATTCATCTAATTTTTCTGTAATGGATCCAGCGATATTTTTGTTAAATAATTTTGGGCAAATTACATATACCCTCTCGAGATTTAACAAAATTACAGATACCCCCTGAAGTTTGAGAAATTACAGATACCCCCTGAAGATTATATTTGCATAACAAATCAGGGGCAAATAGTTATGAAAATATAAATCTCAGAGGATAATTTGTTATAAAAATATAAATCTCAGGGGGTATCTGTAATTTCTGAAATCTCAAGAGATATCTATAATTTACCTAAATTTTGAGGGAGGTATATGTAATTTGCCCAATAATTTTTACGTCTCGCGTGCCTAGTAAACTCGTCTGCCTTTTCACATTATATTATATAAAATAATTTGCAACGTTAAGAATTTTGTTGTTTAAATGTTTATCGATGTATACACTTTGAATTGAATATCAAAGATTGTAATTTTTTGAGTTCAAAGGCAAATTACACTGGTGGTATTTATATTTTTGTCCTTGCATTATTTTAATTTATATAATTTTAATTGGTTCAATTTTGATATTAAATTTATAATTTTGACACAATTTAGTTTAATTGATTACAATTGTTAATATTTTTTGATGAAAAATAACCACATAAACAGACATGTATTATACTTTTATTAAAAAAAAAAATCATAGTTATAGAAGTTAACTTATAAATGATATTAAACGAGCCTTAAGTTAACTCTCTAAATGAGTTAAAAAGTCCAACTCAAACGAACATTTTAGTCCCAGGCTAAAATGATCAAAAAGTCAACCCACTTTCCAAATGAAACCTATGTGTTTACTTTCCTTTATCTAGTATATATTATGGGTTTGGGTTCTCCCTAATCCAACAGATTGAATGGAATTCAACGATTTGAATCATTTATTTTATTCGATTACGTGTGTAGATTATTTAAGAAAAAATGAAATCCGTATGATAAACATATCCATAGACAAAAAAAATAATTTTAAAAATAAAATATCTATATTTTTTAAGATAATTCTGATAAAATAATGAGCTATAATTATTGGATTTATTTGATTCGTTTTATGAATGATCTACACGTATAATCAAATTTAATAAATGATTCATTGGTGGACACAGGTGCAGCGGGTGAGGCCCCCCCCAAAAAAAAAAACTTTTGGAAAATTAGATTTTCAGCATGCAATTTTGAATATTTATAAAAAGAAGTTTGCATTTTGGTACCTTTAAAATATATAGTATAATTTTACTCTAACCCTTCCAAAATCTAAATAATTTTACTTTCACTATCCTAAATTTTGAAAATTTTCATTATTTTCATGCAATTTTTAGTAATTATAAAATAAATGAGTATTTTAGTTATCCCAAACCTTTGAAAAATCTCATTACTTTCATGTCATTTTGAGATTTTGTAAAATTTGATTTTCAAAACCTATATAATATTACTTTAATTCCTCTAAATTCGAAATAATTTTTCTTTAGTCCCCCCTTTGCACAATTTCTAAGTCTGCCACTGATTCAGATCTTCAAAATGAAACTTATTTGATTCTTTTTATGAATGATTTACGCATATAATCAAATAAAATAAATGATTCATTAGTGGACACAGGGGGTGGCGGGTGAGGGCCCACGGCCCCCAACTTTTAGAAAATTAGATTTTCACCTTGCAATTTTGAATATTTATAAAAGAAGTTTGCATTTTGGCCCCTTCAAAAAATATATATATATATATATATATAATTTTACTCTAACCCTTCCCAAATCTAAATAATTTTACTTTTGCTATCCTAAATTTTGAAAATTTTCATTATTTTCATGCAATTTTTAGTAATTATAAAATAAATTAGTGTTTTAGTCATCCCAAACCTTTGAAAAATCTCATTACTTTCATGTCATTTTGAGATTTTGTAAAATAAATTAATATTGTGATTTTCAAAATCTATATAATCTTACTCTAATTCCTCTAAAATTGAAATAATTTTTCTTTAGTCCACTTTTACACAATTTCTACGTCTGTCACTGATTCAGATATTTAAAATGAAACTTGTGATGGAATCCTTTCCTCCCGAGTCCACGAGAAATGAACTAATAATATGAAGTAATAATAATATGGAGTAGAGATCAACCTAACAGTTGGACGAAATTGGTGTCTCACATCTTCCCATCATCTCGTACCTTACTTCTCATCATTTTGCTCAAAACAATTTCGATCCTCTGTGTTAAAATATGTTAGTATTATATGTTAGTGATGTTAGTATTCTATGTTAGTATTGCTAGTGTTATCATTATGTTTAGTACAACATTATGTTAGCTGTAATAATTATCCTTGCTTTATGCTTTCGGTGCCTCAATTGGCACCCAATGTTGGCTTTCTCCTCTCTATAAAGAGAGTGTAAATCTCTTTGTAAACATGCAGAATATATCAACAAATCAATCAACAACATTCAATATCAATCAATATATACACAATTTATTTTCTCTCTCTCTATCAATTATCAATTTATCTTACATGGTATCAGAGCTAGGTTAACAACCTAGTCATTCTGCTTCACCGGCGGGCGGCAGCCTCGCCTTGGCCGCCCGCCGGAGAGGGAGATTAAATCTTTTTTTCTTTTCTGTTCTTTTTCAAAGAGGGGCAAAAAATGAAGAAATCAAGTTTAAGAAGGTGAGCACAGAGAAGAGACCCATTTCATAAATAAAAATAAAAATAAAATAAAAATCACAGGTTATTATTACCTTTAGAACCCATTTGCGCTGAGATTGTCATGTCATCTGTGAGGTAGAGTAGAGCTGAGTGTTTCAATCTGAATAAGAATATGTTTACTGAAACTCTCTTCTTTCTTGCTTCATTTGGGTGCTGCTCTATGCTCAAAGACACAACGAGGGAAACAAAGCGAAGTAATAATTATCATATAAGAGCATCTTCCATAGTAGATTAAGAATCTAATGGTGCAGGTAACAAGCATTTTTAAATTATTTTTTTTTCAATGGGTTTGTTAACTTGTTTGTTAATTAGTCGGGTTAGCAGGCGAATACAAAGTTATCTTTATTTTTATTTGTGAAGAGCACAATAACCTAGGATTGTGGAATTTTATTTTGAAATTTACCTCAAAAAGATATGTATAGTATAAATTTAAAATTAGTAAAATGTGAGACATACCTAGACTGAATTGATGAACTACCAGCTATAGCCACAGAAGAAGCTAATGCTGAAGCTAATGCTGATTGATTACAGTTCTGATTGATGCATTGTAAATAGGCTTAGATAGTTCAGTCAGTTCAGTTTGTATCACATTGTTAATCAGATTTGTTATAACTGTTTTTGTAACTGTTAGTAGTTATATTTGTAACTGTTAGTAGTTATAAAGTTAGATATAGGATAGTTACATAACTAATTGAATATTGTGTATAAATAGTGAACTCTGTACTTGAGAAATGAATTAAGAGATATTTTTCATTTCATATACAAATTCCTCATGGTATCAGAGCTAATTAACTCCAACGAGTCAAGCTTCTTCAAGGTCCTTCAATGGAGTCTGTAGCTTTCTCTCTACCAGCAAATCTTGTTCTTCTGATTAACAATTTGAATTCGTTTGTTACAATCAAATTGAATTCTACAAATTTTTTGATCTGGAAAAGTCAGTTTCAGAACATACTTCGAGCCACAAATCTTATTGGCTATGTTGATGGTTCTTCTCCATGTCCTCCTGCACTAATTCATGATTCTACTGGTAAAGAGAGTACCAATTCAGAGTTTCTTGCATGGAAACAAATCGATTCTCATCTGTTGAGTTGCATCACTGCAACTCTCACTCCTGTTGTGTTTACATCTGTTCTCCAATGTTCTACAAGTTGTGAAGTCTGGACTCTTCTCACCAAAAGGTTCACCTCCTTATCCAGATCACATGTTCATCAACTCAAGAACAAACTCAATGATATTTCCAAGAAGTCTTTATCAATGGAGGATTATTTGCTCCAGATCAAAACAATATCAGATCAATTAGCTCTTGTTTCTTCTCCTGTTGAGGAAGAGGATTTGATTCTCATTGTTCTGAATGGTCTTCCAGCAGAGTATAACTCTTTGAAGACAGCAATCCGAGCCCGACCTGAACCAATCACTATGTCAGATTTGTCCTCTCTTTTGTGTTCAGAAGCTTTGCATGTTGAATCTGAATCACACCTGTCTTCATCTTTTTCAGATCTCACTGTTGCATATTCTACAACCAAAGATCAAGGATCTAAATTTCAATCTGGTTTTCGAGGACATAAATTTCCTGGTTATAGAGGAGGATCTTCTAATAGAGGTGGACGATATTTTCACAACAGAGGAGGTTCTTTCAATCGTAAAAATGGAGGAGGAAGATCTGTCTCTTCATCTCAGTACCAGTTTTCACAACAAAATTCCTCTTCAAATTCTTTGATCTGTCAAATCTGTGGCAAGCCTAATCACACAGCCATTGACTGCTGGTTTAGGATGGATACTTCTTATACAGCAGCTCCTTCTTCCAGTTCTTCTCCTAAAACTGCTTTTGTTGCTAGTACACCTTCATCCTCATCACCTGTCAATTGGTATGTTGATTCTGCAGCTACCACTCATGTTACTCCAGATCTTGATAACCTGCATCATTATCAACCATATTATGGTTCTGACCAAGTCACTGTGGGTAATGGAACCTCCATTCCCATACACCATACAGGTCAAGGTATTCTTCCCACTCCTTCTCATCCTTTCAAACTTAATAATATTCTTCATGTCCCTTCTCTGTCCTCAAATCTTCTCTTAGTTCATCAGCTCACATCTGATAATGATTGCACTATTACTTTTGATGACAAGTCTTTTGTGATTCAGGACAAGACTACTCAGATCCCTCTTTACAAAGGGGTCCATAGTCATGGTCTTTATCAAATTCCATCTACCATTCCTTCTCTCAAACACAAACCAGTTGCATCTCCAGCTGCTTGTCTTGCCACTACCTCTGCTTCAATAACAGTTTGGCACACAAGGCTAGGTCATCCTTCTTCTCAAAAGCTTCAAGTGTTGCTTCAGAATTATCAGCTACCTGTTTCCTCTCATTGTAATAAAACTGTATGCACACATTGTGCTGTAGCAAAGAGTCATAGACTCCCTTTTACTTTGTCAAATTCCTCTGTTAATAAGCCTCTCTCTCTTATTCATAGTGATGTATGGGGCCCATTTTCTTGTTCTAATTCCAGTTTTAAATACTATGTTCTGTTTGTCGATGAGTTTAGCAAGTTTACTTGGGTCTATCCTATGTGTAATAAGAGTGAAGTGTTTTCCAAATTTCAAGAGTTTAAGGTGTTTGTTGAGACTCAATTTGATACTAAACTTAAAGTGTTTCGTACTGATGGTGGTGGTGAGTTTACTGGAACATATTTTGAGCAATTTCTTAAAAACAATGGTGTTATTCATCAACTCTCATGTCCTCACACTCCTCCTCAAAATGGAGTAGCTGAGCGCAAACATAGACATTTAATTACTACTACTATTGCTCTTCTTCATCAATCAGCCCTACCATTTTCCTTTTGGTTTGATGCTTTAGCTACTTCTGTATTTCTTATCAATCGTTTGCCTAGTTCCAAATTGCATAATAAGACTCCTTTTGAGATGTTATTTCATCAATCTCCGGATTTTAGTTTTCTCAAGAGTTTTGGTTGTCGTTGTTTTCCTTGGCTAAAACCTTACACTTCTCATAAACTCCAACCTAGGTCTGTGCCTTGTGTGTTCATTGGGTATCATCCTTTTATTAAGGGTTATCAGTGTTTTGATCCTGTCTCCGGAAAAGTTTTTCTTTCTAGACATGTTATTTTTGATGAGACTGTCTTTCCTTTTGTCTCTCATTCTTCTCTACTTCCTTCTACTGTTCCTTCTTTATCTCAACTTCATGATTTCTTTTGGCCACCTCATTCCAGCTCCTCTTCTCTGTCTCCTTCTTCTCCTCCTAGTTCTAAGTCTACTGTTTTCAGTCCAGCTGCCGCTGCTCCTGTGGCTATTCCTTCTCCTGCTCCTGTTATTTCTGGTTCTGTTCCTGCTGCATCTGCTGGTGCTGCTGTCTCTCCAGCTGGTGCTGCTCCTATGGATCCTTCTGGCACTGTTTTTCCTGTGTCTGTTTCTTCTCCTGCTATGCCTACAGCTGCTCCTCTCATTTCAGCTCCTGATCTTTCAAACTCCTCACTTCCTATTGATTCTGTCACATTGATTTCAGTACTTATGCTCCGTTAGCTTCTTCTCTTAACACGCATCCCATGGTTACTCGGTCTAAGCATAAGTTTCCCATTCATTTGACTATTTTTTCTGCTCCTGATTCTTCTCTAATTGAACCTTACACTTGGTCTACTGCTCTTACTATCCCTGCTTGGGCTGCTGCTATGTCTGAAGAATTTACAGTTCTTCAACGCCAAGCTACTTGGGTTTTGGTTCCTCCTCCTAGTCACAAACATGTTATTGGCTACAAATGGGTTTTTCGTCTCAAGAAAAACTCTGATGGCTCTGTTGCTCGTCATAAAGCTCGTTTGGTTGCTAAGGGATATCTTCAGGAGGAAGGTATTGATTATCATGAAACTTTTAGCCCTGTGGCTAAACAACCTACTATTCGTGTGTTTCTTAGTGTTCCTCTTCACTTCAACTGGTCCATTAAGCAACTGGACATCTCCAATGCCTTTCTTCATGGCATTCTTGAAGAAGAGGTGTTTATGGACCAGCCACCTGGTTTTGTTGATTCGACTTATCCTTCCCATGTGTGTAAATTGCAAAAAGCTCTCTATGGTCTTAAGCAGGCTCCTCGTGCCTGGTACTCCATTTTTTCCTCTTTTTTACTCACTTCTGGTTTTGTTAATAGTCGTTGTGATTCATCCTTATTCATTCATTACTCTTCTTCTTCCATCATTCTCCTGTTGGCATATGTGGATGACATTCTTATTACTGGGAGTGACTCTGCTCAAATTGCTCAGCTTATTACTCATATGCATTCTCAGTTTTCCATGAAGGAACTGGGTTCCATCTCTTATTTTCTTGGTATATCTGTGTTACCTACTTCAGATGGTCTGTTTTTGTCTCAACACAAATATGCCTCTGAACTCCTTGCCAAAGCTGGCATGACTAACTGTAAGTCTTCTTCTTCTCCCATGGCTACTAAGCCTTCCTCTTCTCTTGATTTTTCCACTCCTTTTGCTCAGCCTGCTTTATATCGTAGCTTGGTGGGTGGTTTACAATATCTTACTATCACCAGACCTGACATTGCCTTTGTTGTTAATCTTGCGTGTCAATTTATGCATGCTCCCACTGTGGCTCACTTTAATCTTGTCAAGAGGCTTCTTCGTTTTCTTCGTGGTACTCTGCATTATGGCCTTGTCTTTACTGCTGGTTCTTTGGATCTTCATGCTTTTTCGGATGCTGATTGGGCTGGCAGTGTGCATGATCGCAAATCCACCACTGGATATTGTGTTTTTCTTGGTTCCAATCTGGTGTCATGGGTTGCCAAGAAACAGAACATTGTTTCTCGTTCCTCCACTAAAGCTGAATATCGTGCACTTGCTCAGGCTGCTTCTGAATTGACTTGGCTTCAAATGCTTCTTACTGAGTTACATCTCCTTTCTGCTGTGCCTACGCTTTGGTGCGATAATCTCTCCGCCATCAGCTTGGTCTCCAATCCTGTTTTCCATGCCCGCACAAAACATATTGCTGTGGATTATCATTATGTGCGTGAACAGGCGGTTTCTATGAAGCTGGTTGTCAAATTTGTTGGTTCTTCTGACCAACTTGCTGATATCTTCACTAAGCCGCTGTCCTCTGCTCGCTTTGCTTTTCTTCAGCCCAAGCTCATGGTTCGTCCCTCTCCTCTTCGCTTGCGGGGGCCTGAT